CTGGACCTGCTCCAGCCCCTCCATGTCCTTCCTGAGCTGAGGGCCCAGAGCTGGACACAGCACTCCAGGGGTGGCCTCACCAGCGCTGAGTCCAGGGGAACATCTCCCACCCTCAGCCCCTCCACCCTGGCCCCGAGCTCGGCACCCACCCCCGCAGTGGCGGGGTGAGGACGGGGGTCCCCACCTCGCTCATCCCCAAACGGCGGCGGCGGTGCCGGGCGGCTCCCGCGGGGTTGGGAGCGCCGAGGGCCGGAGCGCCGGGAGCTGCCGGCTCAATGCCGGGGCCTCGCTCCCACGAGCGGATGAAAGGCTCCCTGTCCAAACGGCATTAGACGCGCTGCGAAGGCTCATTCCCGATCGGTCACGCTCCGAGGCGCAGCTGCAAAACCCCCTCCGGGAGCCCGGGATGCTCCGGGGGCTTTGTTCGGGGCAGCCCCGCTTCCTGGGGAACCGTGACAAGACGATGGGATTACGGGGCAGGAGAAATAAAATAAAATAAAAATCGACCTCGGCTTGGGCCGCGCTGGCTGGGCGGAAAAACAAAGGGGACCCTCGAATTCCCCCGTGCTCCTGCCGGGAATGATGGCCCCACTGTGCTTGGGGAAGGGGCACAGAGAGGGCTTGAGGGTCCCCAAGGAGGGAGGATGGATTTTTGGTGGTGTTCTTCCCCAATTTCTGCTCCCAAATCCTAGCACTGAGCGAGCAAGGAAAAGGAGAAAAAACTCACAAGGAAGTAGACTTGATGAGGAGGGAAAACCTTGTGGGGAAGGAAACTTCAAAAGGAGGAAAACCTTGAAAGGAGGTAAAGCCTTGCAAGGAAGGAAACCTCCAAGGAGCAAAATCTTGCAAGGAGGAAAACTTTACATGGAAGAAAAACTTTGGATGCAGGAAAATCTCGCAAAGAAGGAAAACCTTGCAAGGAGATCAAACCTTGCAAGGAGGAAAGCCTTGGGCAAGGAAGGAAATCTTGCAAGGAGGAAAGTACTTGAAGGGGGAAAACCTGGCAAGGAAGTAAAACCTTGCAAGCAGGAGAAATCTTGTGAAGAAGGAAACCTTGCATGGAGGAAATCCTTCCAAGGAAGAAAACCTTGCATGGAGGAAATCCTTCCAAGGAAGGAAACCTCACCCGGAGGAAAACCTTTCATGGAGGAAAAATTGCAGATATAAGAAAAACCTCATATGGAGGAAAATCTTACAAGGAGGAAAGCGTTTGATAAGGAAGGAAATCCTGCAAGGAGGAAAACCTTGGGAGGAGAAAAACCATGCAAGGAAACAATACCTTGCAAAGCAGGAAAAGCCATGCCAGGAAATACTGCAGGGAGGAAAACCTTGAAAGGAAGGAAAACCTTGCAAGGAAGGAAACCCTGTGAGGAAGGAAATGCTGCAAGGAGGAAAAACCTGGAAGGAGGAAAACCTTCCAAGGAAGGAAACCTCTCAAGGAGGAGATTCTTGGAAGGAGGAAGGGAGCAGGTTGAAGGGAGTGGTTCTGCACCTTCCTCCCTCCCGGCACAAAGCCCGGCACGGTTTGGCCGAGGTTAATTGGGTTAGCACGGCTAAAGGGCGTAGCTTGTCCAGGCGCCTGCTCCCTAATGAGCATCTCATTTGAATCTATGCAAAATAGCAGGGAGCATGGAGACATGCTAATTAAAGCGATTGCTGTTCGCTAATTAAGCAGCAATTCCCCTGCCTGAGAGGGTATTCTCATGCAAATAGTGCCCAAGGAGGGGGAAAATCGCCCCAAAAACTGTGCAGGGAGGAATCTCAATTTGGCACCACCCCACGTCTGTGGAGCACCTTTGTTATAACCCTCATTTTGAGTATTTTTACCCCAAAAAAGCAGACTTGGTCTTTACTGTGTTGAGAGTGATCTTCAAGCCCTCGGCCTTTCCAGTGGCTGCCATAAATCAAGTGATTTAACGCCTGGGCTGAGCCAACCCTGATCTTGATTCATTTTGGGGCGTTTTCTTCAGATTACGGGATTTCTAATCCGCCAAGGATTTTTCTACTCTTCGTTTTCTTTTTTTTTTTTTTTTTTTTACCCTTTTACACTTGTGGAAATAATGACGTCCTACAGGAAGCCTCCTGAGGGATAAAATTAGGGCTGGTAAACACAGGGGAGTGCAGTGTATTGGTCTTGCAGGTTTGTCCGAAAACCAAGAGATTTTGTTCCAAGTCCATTTCTCTTTTTTTCCTAAACCTATTTCTCCTTTATTTTTAAACACAGGAACTGTATTTCTTTGCAGCCTGCTCCGTGTGTCGCTGAAGCCTTTCCAGGCAAAACCCTCCTCAGGATAAATCCCTTTCCAGTCACCATGTGTGGATGCGACCAAAATATAGCAAATTCTCCCCTCTCCCCCCCCAAAAAAAAGGCATGTTGGTCATATTCTGGGTGTATTTTGAGCATTTTGGAAGGCCCACATGCACGGGTGTGTGCTTGCACAGCTCTGTGGGTGCAGAGCTGCCAGGGGCTCAGTGGTCCACAGGGAAATTCTCTCCAGAAGCCATTTGCTTCACCTTGGGCTCTTGGGCTTTGCTGGACACTTGTGGAGCACCCTGAGGTTCCTTCTCTCCACATTTCCTATCCCAACCTCCGTGTTCTCTGTGTCTGTGGAAATGTCTTGCTTAAAACTTAGGGAATTGGGGCTTGGAGCAACATGGTCTAGTGGAAGGTGTCCCTGCACACGGCAGAGGGGTTGGACCTGGACAGTCTTTCCAGTCCCTTCCAACCCAAACAATTCCGGGATTCCACGATGGAGACACCCGCTTTTGATGGGATGATCACCACACCACCGTGGAAAAACCAGCTCCTGTTTTCCACCTGAATCCCGCTCAGCTGGCCAGGAGCCGCATCAGCGACCTCCCTTTATCCCAGGGCTGGGTGCGGGGCCGGGTGGGTCCACGGTCGCAGGGCTGCAGAGGTGCAGGTCCCGCAGATGCAGTGCCTGCAGGGGACACAGCTGTGGGGTGCAGGGCGGCGCGGGGTCCTGCTCCCGGGGGTGCCTGGAGCACGCATTCCCTGTCCTGCGTGGTCCCAGTCCTGGTTAGCTCGGGTGCCCGATCCTGCTGTGCCCGGTCCCGTTTGTTCGTGTGCCCTGTCCCGCCTGTTCCCCGTTTGTTCGGGTCCCCTATCCCGCGTGTTCCCGATTCTGTGTGTCCCCGCGTCCCGGTTTGTTCGGGTGCCCGATCCCGCGTGTCCCCGGTCCCGGTTTGTTCGGGTCCCCTGTCCCGCGTGTCCCCGGTCCCGGTTTGCTCGGGTGCCCTGTCTCGCGTGTCTCCCGGTCCCGGTTTATTCGGGTACCCCGTCCCGCGTGTTCCCGATCCTGCGTGTCCCCGGTCCCGCTTTGCTCGAGTGCTCGGTCCCACGTGTTCCCGATCCCGCGTGTCCCCAGGTCCCG